CGAGTATTTCGAACTGCCTCAGCGGTAACTGTCAACACTCACCAACCCGTTCATAAAAAATAAACGACAAATACGTTTTATTTAACAATTTTTTCGTAGTGGACATTTCGTTTAAGCCTCGCTCCGGTCTGCCAATGCACGCCAAACGTGCATTTTTCTAGTCTAGCTGGAAAATAATCAAACCGGGCTCACATAACAAACATTCGAGCTTACGAAAATCAGGGCCTGAAAACTTGTGCTCACATAGCACAAAATGTGCTCACATAGAGGGCCATGTGCTCATCTAGATTAGAACTTGTGCTTAAAATTACCAATACTTCCCTCTTCTCTGTAATTTAGCAGGTTCTAATCATTTCATTTTATTACAAACTAAACTACGCAAATAGAAAATGCGCGGTGAAGAATAGCTTAAACGCCAATCGGTATACATTCGTATTGCCTTCTCCCACAATGTGCACATTTGCTGGTGAACGTATTTAGTCCAACCGCATTTTGACAGAAGTTGCGCTACATCCGTATATGCGCATCTGTGCAGTTGTTCCGTTACTTCCGCAGTTACAATGCTGTTTCCTGCTCACGAAGATCTAGTTTTATGCACAGGATTGTGGCCGATCCTCACAGTTATTACTTATTGGCACGATGAACCATTACAACAGCAAATCTGCTTGAATTTCCTTAAGCAAGTCTATGCTGCTTTCGAAAATACGAAAGCGCGCTCACGTGTTCACCTTCTTTAATGCGCTTGTACAAGCGTGTCCGGTAATTTCTGCCGGTTCAAAACAGCGAGATACACAAATTTGCGTGTTACGCCAAACGTAGTGTAGTGGCAATCGCTATAGCGCAAACTCCAGCGGTAAATATGTGCTATCTGTACCTCTACGACAGAAATTACCGGACAAGCTTGTACACTATGTAGTTTACTATCATCTAAATATTATATAAATGAGTTTGCCATGAATTAACAGAATGAATTCTAGTGCTCTACACAAAATACACGTTTCTCGCGTTCGTTTCTTGTACGCAAAATAACGGCTTATTGTCGAGTCTCCGCTTGGAGTAGGCTATGCGAGTACGTACATGGAGTTAGGCGGCCTGGTGATGTCTATAATTTTAACTACCATGAACTATGTTTTTCCGAGAATGACCTTTTCGTAATTCTCGAGAACGACCTTTCGTTTAGGAATACATATTCTAACCGGCTTTTCTGGCAGCGGGTTTCCATACAAATTTAAAAGAAAGTCTTACGCGACCGGGATAAAATGGATTATTAATAATCCATTTTATCCCGGTCGCATAATTCATCTCCGTCGCAATAATATTATTGCGAAACATTTCTGTTGAAGCTGCGTTTGTTCTTATTCCTTTTCCAGATCATGTTTTTTAACAGTACGGCCGTAAGGGCATCTTCAGAGTACTCTAACGATATATCACTGAGTATAAGTTGACTGCTGCACTTAGTATACATGCTTTAGTACGTGGGTATTCTGTCGCTCTGATGGATACAGTTACCTACCGGTACACTCTCCCTTTCCAGATTTCGTTATTACTGAAATCAGAAACAGATAGCGTTGGAGTCATAAGCATTCTAACCAGACCAAGAAAGACAAGATAAATCCTGAGACCTCACAAACTACAAATTTTCATTAAATTTAACAAACCAAAATATGTTTCTGGTAAATAACCTATTTCGATTGAATTTCTAACGTTTTCTGGACGAACAGCATCGTCAGCTTCGCGCTTCGCGCGATGTCTCCGACTCTCGATTGTCCCAAAAAAATGTTCACTATCATTTACAAATTCGCCTAACTGACACACGCACGCCACAATAAAATCAACAGTAGATTAGTCGCTGGACATTCAAAACTTTCACAATGCAATCCAGTACGAAAATAACAAAATAGTCACTACCCCCCTCTTTCCAAAATTTAAGTGTGCTCACATAGATTTTAAAGATTTCTGGCTCTGCGTCGAAAATATACGGTAATATGTTATATTACAGGAAATGCTTCTTCGTAATCTGCAGCAGTCGCTAGCTGATCAGCGCCCGTTGGTCGGTTTGTCTTTCGACCTGCAAGGAGAGATCTTCCTCTGTCTGGACCTGTACAATCAACAGCGATGCCGTCGCGTGTGCCAAACCTGGAATGTCATGATATCATCGTCGGCACTACCGGTGACAATTTGCTTGAGCAAATTCCAGCATGACAACAGCCTCGCGTATAAATTGGCCATGATGCTGCATAAGTCAGTAAAACCCTCCACGCGAATGGTCACCATTACTGGATCCTACTCCGAAGACGTGCGCTATGTTAGCACCATTATCACCATGCTGTCAGCCATAGAGGCCCAAGTTCCTGTCGTCAACATTTTTCTGAAAGTCGTCTGGGCACGCGATCGCCGCGACATGAAATTAATAGAGTCGAAACTAATGGAGTCGAACACAGACTGTGCACGAACGCATCCCTACTGGAAGTGGCTTCCACGTTGTTTGACAAGAATGGGCCTTAAAGCAGAGTACGCTTTCCATGATTTTCGCAATTGTGTTGCTGTGATGCTTTGTATGGAGAACCGCCTGCATCGAGAATTTCGGCTTGTTACCGCATTTGCAATTTGGTCGACTTGGAGAACATCGGTGTACAGCTAACCCTGGGTGATGAAGTTGGGTACAGAAAAGCTGCTAAAGATGAGAATGCTGTAATTAACCCAACAGATTCACGAGAAATAAAAGGGCCCAGATTACATGTGCCCTCTGTTGGAATTCGACAGGTAACTTCGTCATAAAATCCTGGCCAGCATATGGTCAGCTGTACGCGAAAACGTTACATAGTTTTCTTACGTATATTGCAGTTCTCAAAACCTTTAATGAGTATTACGGCACAGATACAAACTTAGCACCAGAACAAACAGTACCAGACCAAAATCATAGCAATTTACGTATATTATATTTATATAAATGTATTGTATTATGAATGCCGTTTTCAATTAAAGTACGAGTACGTAATTTGTAGGTATTGAGATTATGGCAGCCTGGTGAGCAAAGAGGACAACCCGACCAGATTCGCAATTCACCGTGGACAGAGATCACCCAGCGAGGAACGAAAGATGTTGTCTAGGTGGATTCTGTTAATGTTGCAGAACAAGCTTCATAAGAATTAAGTCTGATGTACTTACTCTACATGCATTATACGGTAGTTAATGCTTAAGTCTTGAGAAACGCCGGTGAGGTGTTGGGACATTGGCCAACCCAAACTCGACTGCAAGGTCTCAAGCTAACTTCGGAACATGCTCGGCCACCGGAAGGAATACTATGCTGGTTGAGTGATGCAAAATGAATGGAATGCCCTGGTGCGTGCTCGCTCCAGGAACCCTGATTCGTGGCCAGGGTGTATATGAGAATGCGGTTGCTTGCTGCTGTTCCTTCCGGTGCGGTTCCGTGTGTACCGTGGCGGGAGAGAGCAGTGAGCTGAGTTGTGCCTTTAATCAGAACTATCTGCGTAAGGGAGGGATGGTGGGAAGAAAGCAAATCAATGATCATCAGGAAAACAACAGTGCAAGTAAACTTCAAAAAGGAAAACTACTACATCAACTTCAAATCCAAATTCAAAACACAACTGGCAAAGTGCAAACCTCAAAGAACGCAAATTAGCTAAGCACATCAGAGAATATGCAGCGCAGTGTAATGAGCAACGCAAGATGGCGTCCGGCGAAAAGGTCAACCAATCATCTGACGTGCGGATGGCTCTACGGATAAATCAGCCTTCTAGAAGGAGAGCGGCGTTTCTCTTGACTGCATTAACCTAAGTTAGCAATAAATCGCTAACTTCTATTAGTACATTGCACTCCAGTACAAGCTAAACAGTATTTTTATTTACATGGTGTCGTCTCGTGAAAGACGTACTTTGGTCACTTCCTTTTATTCGGTAACAATGTTACTGCGTTCTGTTTCTATGCCTAGCTTATTAGCTCCTTCTTTTGGCAATAAACTAGTACTGGTTGGCAGCTCGGTGTGCACGCAATTCTGACGAATCGGTGGTCGAATTCTGACGAACTTATTTACTCGTACATACTGCAAATCCACCAGTTTTTTCAATCAATGTCAAATTGGTATTCGATACAAAAGGAAGCGTTTGCCAGCAAAACACTGTCGTCTATCATCAGTGCAGTATTGGCCATGACGACCGGGATAAGACGGTTGTAAATAACGCTAAACCATTATATTGTTCTTTTTTGGGGTATGTCGTTCAAAATGGCACCACTGCTACCAATCTACAGTAACTAAACTCAAAGGTATACGCGTGTAATCATACTCCGTACCCTAGGTGTGATCGCCTTAAAAAATTTCCAAAAGATTTATATTTCTATAACCAGATAGGCACACGCCCAACTCTAATCTTTCCGCGGCCACAGTTTGAGTGATGTTTTTTCATCGCAGCTTGGTACACCTGTCCCGAGTAAAACAGTTTGTAAAACATATGTCGTGTTATGAGGTTGCCAATGGTACAAAGAAGTACACGATTGGCTAACGACTCTCCGGACGGGATCGTCGTAACCACTATCCCTGCCTTGCTCAGTGAATATCGCAACTCCTGTCTCAATTGTTACAGCGGATCACAGGAAATGTATGGAATCTGGTAGGTTCAGGAACACGAAGATCAGGAATCCCTAAGCGATTGTGCTGAAGAATACTCCTAACTTCCGGTCGTCACACATGCGGGTCAAACGAAGTACGAGCATACCGTGTTTACCACGCTATAATCCGATATAAATTACGAACGTCGATAATCACAGAAGATGCTTTACTCCGCTAACACACAATCATATGCACAACACAAGGAAAGTTAAAAGCAAGTAGTCGTCTGATCAGAAATCCAAGACTGAATTCCAATCCCTCTCGATATTAGTAGAATTTCAGACTTAAATAGACTCAGAAGTAAAATCATCAGATACACCGCTAAGCCATAAATATAACGAATCACAGAACTGATCGGTGCTGATATCCGGTGTTGTACTTGCAGGTGAAGGCGGACAGTCAGTGGATGTACGGTGGAATCCCTCGTACATACTCCTCCACACGTCACCCCCACAAACGTTTCTTGGCTCCTGCCAACATAAACAAGTCCATCCGCAACATCCCGTGAGATTGTGAGCGCTCCATCCCTGATCCATCTCCCGTCCTTCGCCACAATCCACGCATGTCCATCCGATGCCCAATGACTGTACGCCTGATCCGTGTGAGATGTTTAATGTGTGGATCCTAGCGTCGTTGGCATCCGGAAGTCCATGGGATTGGCGAGGAGGAGGTCCAGAATCCAAGGAGCTAGAATCTACTGCGTACTACTGTGCTTTTCAAGTGATGAATTTTCTGTGTTCCGTATAGGCACTAGGCTTTAATAATAATTTAAAATTGTACTATTTATGTTGCTTTAAATTTATAGTTGTCAAGGATTAAATGCTGCCTTCCAATGATTTTAATTATCAAATCTGTAGAAGGATTTCACGGCACAAAATGTTCTAGGGACAAAATTAGGCACAGTATTCAAGAATCAGATATAGAACGCAAAAATTCGGCAGTCATTGCAGTTACTCACAACGAGGGTAATTATGCAAGGAAACAATCGAGACGTATTGGGGCTGCACATTCTCCTGAACGTTGCCAGTATTATCCAATCGTACGATCTGTACAAATGGGATCTCCGGGGACGGCTCTCTCTCCAATATCTGCATTTCTGCGACAGGTTCTTCAGGTTCTGGCAGTGGAGTTGGCTCCCGAACATCGCCCATACACTCCGAAAACCATTCTTCATAGCCTTTAATATCAAACGCAGCAGGAGACGACCAAGGCTCCTCAGGCTCTTTCTTCATCAGTCGACCACGAAAATTTACACACAAGTTTGCCGTCCGAATCCAACGCTGAGATTCTTCATCCGTTTCGAACATACGTAAAATTTCGCGAATATGCTCTTCCTGTCGTTCTTCTTCGGCCCATTTATCGTTCTCGCGTCGAACTTCATCCATGTCCTCCATCGTTTCCACATAAACCATCATCGCAGCAAGCATATTCTGACATTCTTGCTGGGCACGATCATACGCTTCTAAAGCTCTAATACCCAGGCGTCTAGCACCACGCGTAACAACACGACGAGCTGTTCGAGTAACGATTTTGGTTGACATTTTATGACCAAAAGAGAAAAAGGTACGGCAGCTCTGAGTAAAGCTAGAGATCACTTAAATTAAAATCTCAACTTTTGTAATAAACGTCCATCTGCTATTCAATAAGTGTGAGTATCCTGCTATTCAATAACCGGAAACGTGTCAAACTGCCGCTCCGAAGGTGCGTAAGCCGGAAATACACCACGCCGCTTATTTTAATTCCGAATACTTTAATTCTAAAAGTGATCCAATCCTTTTCCGGTTAAAAACCGTAATAATGAAGACAAGCATACAGACAAAAGAATTTGATTATTATTTCCAAGAATAAACTAAAAATGTAATTATTATCACAACATTGTCACACACAAGATATCGTTAGTTTATACCAATTAAACTGTTTTGGGTTCCTTGTCCTCTTGAATGCGCAACTTACGCGGCTTATTATTCGAGCTGCTGGAGCGCACTTCCGACAAGTTCTCCTTCAGCGGTGACAACGGGAAGCCGTAAAAGCCAAATCCTCCGGTGTTGACCGATGACGTAGGCGCAGAATGTGGTTCAGCCATCTGCGGGGCACCTCCATTCAACTGCTCCACAGTGTCTCGGTACAGCAGCGGGGCAACCTTTTCCCAACGCTGAATGGTCATACCGTCACAAATGACATCCTTTCCAATCGTTCGTTGATCCAGAGGAACGGTATCGACCATATCCAGTGCCATATTAATAAGTTGAGCAGCGCGAACCATTTGCTGATCCGGTGCTTCCTTTGGTTCTTGTTCTTCGTCAGGCATAGAAAACAACGACGAAATTGAGCCCGTACGATAGCTACGCGGCGGTCCAAACTCAGTGGCGATTGAGGACCCATGGCGCTGCGCATATCCAATCATGACAGGAATCTTACTGACAGATCCCACAGAAGCTGCAGCCAAACGGGAAGTCATTTCTTCCTCTCGACCCGAAGCGTAACGCTGGAAAAACGTGTTGTTGCGCTGCGATTTATTTGCCATAGTGTGCAATACTTCCAACTAGCACCATCAATAAACTGTAACTATGCACACTGACCGTATGGGAATTAAATAACTACTTTATAGCACCGCCTCCGTCTAGGCTACACTGAATAAGAAATAAAATTTATAAGTTTGGAAGCTTGGTAATACACAGCATGATGTTCATTCTGTCATAGCGGATTTCCGTACTTTCAAAGTAAAAGTTGTACGACCGGTTTGTACTTGTTTAAACTTTTTGTTTCCATGTTTTACCGAGTGTTCTGTACTAAATACCGTTATTTGACTACTAATTACAGGGAACGAAAATGCACACGACCTTTTTAGTTTTTTATTATTTTTTTTTGGATTTTACATTTCATTATTTTAGGGTCCCTGAGGGCTGCGTACGGTTGATACTGCACTTGGGGACGACGGTCTAACCGGATTTGTCCCATTTCCGTTAACAACAACATGTAAAACACGTAAGAAACAGTTCAGTGGCCTTAGAAAATGACACGCCACATACCAGTAAAAATCCAAAACAACAAAATTGAAAAGAGCAACAACATTTAGGTCAGGTCAGGTAATATCACAGAACAACAACAAAATCAAAAATGTCTGCCCATGACCAGTAATAATCAACAATAAATAAATGAAAATTTACCATATCACTTGCTGCTGCTTGGTGCCAAGGAAAATAATCCTGACTGTCCCGCGCTCGACGAGGCTGACACAGCATCCAGACGGCGACTGACTTCTTCCGCCATCTTACGTCGCTTTTCCATCTCCGACTCTCGCTGCTTCTGCTGGAGTAACTCTTGGTCAGCAACGAAATTAGGCACAAAATCATGCGAGGGTTTCCCGATTCGGTCTCGCGAAGCTGAACGGTCACGATTCGTATTCACCGGTACTGCAAAGGCATCGACTCCAGGTGGCAATCCCGGAAGTGCACTGACTGCTGGTACTGCTTGCACGGGCTGCTGTGGTAATGCTGCTACGCTGGCTGGCACGCTTCCGACAATCAGGACAGACGAGCCCGATAAATGTTGATCAGCATGAGGAGGAGCGGCGACAATCTGGCCCACAACTCCGCGACTCGGATCTTCAACTGGTGGAGGCGCCTGCGCAGGGTTCGCGACGTCGACCTCCATAGGGACGCCGGGATTCTCCACCCGTTGAGCCGGATCATCTGGTCCAGCAGCATTCGGAGCAGGACCCTGTTCCCCCAAGGGTCTGCCTCCACGGATCCAATCAGATGGCCCACGACGGACGTTGTTGCCTCCGTGACTTCGATGGTACATAGGGCGATACGGGCGAAATCCGCCGCGCGCACGGCCACCACGGTATCCTCCTCTCCAGCCATACTGTTGCTGTTGTTGCGCCGTCTGCGATGACTGAAATACGGCGTCAACGAGCTTTTCAAAAGCTCGATTCGGATCAATTGGCGGCATAACAAATCATTACGGGAACAAGTGACCTTAGACAGCAATAAGGCGAAGTAAAAGTTCCACACAAAATAACGAAATAACAAGGAACTACTGCACAGCCTGTGCGGCGTGACTGGAAAAAGTGCGAACTTTAGAATGAGAAGGTGCGGTGTACAATCTGTGCTGTTTTTACCTGTTTAAATACCTGTGCCTGCCATCTGATCAAGCGTGCCGGTGTGTTGGGAAATTTCCCCACTTCCTAACTGCATTCAAACCGACCAATCACAATCACAGGTTAAAGCTCCTTTAATGGGAGTGAGAAGGATTACGTCACAAACATCAGCTTCTCCGTACATGATCAAATGACCTGATAAAAGGTGTTAAAATTAACCAGGCACACCATGGCAACAAAAGACTACAGTAAATTATACGGCCAATTCAGGGCATGAAAAATGTGCAAAGATTCGCGGTCAATTCAAGGTTAACGAGTCTAAAAATTATGTGGGAAATTAATCACCCATTAATCTCAGAAGTAAAGGAAAAATAGCAATAGTAACAATTTCATATGAGGCAGAACAACATCTCACTTTACCTAAGCCGTTTCAATAAAAATCGACGGCACGAACGGATTCAAGGGAAAAATACCGCGATTATCCAGAATGGGGCTGCGGACTGGCGTGAGCTGTCCAACTTGCAACTCCTCTGAGCGTGGCTCTTCTTCCTGTTGTTCGACGAGAACCTGCATCTGCACTATTGCCGCTGCTGCTGGAACATTTTCCGCTTGCTCGCCGTCATCAATGTGCAACCGAGGCTGTTCTTCTTCCTCCGGCTGTTCATCGTCATGGCGCTGTTCAGTGTCAGCATCGTCCGCTGCATTCTGATCATTGTCTGGGCCAGCAAAATCCACTAAGTCGCTAACATCCGCTTCGTCAATTGCGACTTCTGCAGGAGACTTTTTCGGCAAGATAGGCGGATGCTCAAAGTCGGGCATCGGCACATCTTCTTCGTCTGAATACGTAATGAGCGAATCAGCAAAAATCTGCATCTGGCGGTCGTTTTCACTGTCATTGCCAGTCTCGTCCTCTTTTTCAGCGTTTTTCTTTTCTATCGGCTTGGTAGGCAGGGGCTGGAAAATGCTAACAGCCTTCGGTTTCTCCGCACTATTTCCGGCCTCTTCATCCATGTCATCGAACTTGCGCTTAATAGATCCGATCAGACTGCTAAAGCGCACCCGGCGTTCCGCTTTAATACGTTGAAGATGCTCCCAACCAGCTTTGGTTTCCTCACTGGTTGCGGTACTGGTGGAGTGATCAGTGGCAGATTCGCTATCCGTTTGCGTATCCAATGAACCACTGGTATCACTGTCGTCCTTATCACCGTCCGCTTCGTCACAATCCTCGGCGTCGGCGTCGTCACCCGAATCTTCGCCGTCCTGACCAGCATTCTCAGCCGCAGCTTTTACCTCCGCTTGTTGCTGGTCCAGTACGGCGACATCCACACTTGGATCAACGGCTTGGGCGATGGCCATATCATCCCTATCGTCAGCCACCGCCAAATCAGGAAACTTCAACGTCATTGAGTCGACCGACGAAGGCTCTGTTTCCGTGTCTCCTCGTCCGAGGCCTACCGCATTCAACTGTGGCCGCTTGCTGCGCTGAACAGGCCTTTCCGGCACTCCAGTTCGTCGAGCAAACCCGGGGCGTGAGACGCGTGCAACGCCATTCCCATTTCCTGCCACACAGTAATATTATAGCAAAAATTCCTTCCATTTAGTATCGGTGTGCCATGTCGTATTATATTTAAATTAAATATTAGAGTTTAATTTAGGTCTTTAACCACGGGGCAAATTCAGAAGAATGCCATTAAATGGTAAGCCGTTTAAAAATAAAAGATTGAAGATAAAGTTGTAGAAAGCTACCTGCAGCATGTCCGCTGGTACCGCTATCTCCCTCTGACAAATCCGGCGATTCGACCAAGCGAATCCGGGGTTTGCTGCCGCCAGGTGGTGTGCTGCTATTACTGGACGACGAGGAAGGCTGCCCTCGCCAACGCGTCTGCTCGGGCGTGCTCGCAAATGCGCCACGGCGCTGGTTCCCGCGAACGATATCTGCACGGTCTGAACTGCTAGGTGGGATCGGTTGTTCTTCAGTGCTGCTCGATCCGCTGGATCCTTCCGCAAAATCCGCTGCTTGGGCCTGTGCTCGCGTCACTCTGTGCTCCGCACGATCCGCCGCCGATCCGGGCTGGTAACCCATCGGATGCCGGCTTGCATTTGGCCTTTCCAAAATGCCACGCTCACGCATTTGACGAGTGGGCGGTGTGGGTCGCCAAGGTACTACATCTTCTGGCTCCGGTATTTCAGGAGAAAATCGCCGCGACATGCTTCCCAACAAGCTTTTGTGCAGAGAACCCATAAAATAACCAAAAGCAAAACCGGAAATAAGGGTTCTCTGTGATCAAATATCAAAAGTAAGATGAAGCACTTCAAAACTTAAAAATTTTCAAGTCGACTGCGGCATTTTACACACTGTACTATACGGTTTTTGCATGTCAGTGCCATAACATGGTGGTTTGCCTGTCGACGGGCACTCTACTTCCGGTGAATAAATATTACGGAAATTCGCTCATATTTCATCAACCATTGTTCTTTGCCATAGTTTTTATG